TGTGTTAGTTTCTGGAGCATAATTGCTTTACAATGTTGTGTTAGTTGTTTCTGCTGTATAACAAAGTGAATCAGCTCTACGTATACATGTATCCCAATATCTCCTCCCTCTTGCGTCTCCCTTCCACCCTCCCTATCCCACCCCTCTAGGTGGTCACACAGCACCGAGCTGATTGATCTCCCTGTGCGATGCAGCTGCTTCCCACTAGCTACCTATTTTGCATTTGGTAGTGTACATATGTCAATGCTACTCTCTCACTTGGTCCCAGCTTACTCTTCCCCCTCCCCGGGTCCTCAAGTCCATTCTCTATGTCTGCGTCTTTATTCCAAGCTAGGTAATGGTACACAGTTTTTTATTTCCTTATTATTCTTTAAGCTGTATATATATGTATATATGTGTGTGTGGGTGTATACATATATCCATATACATTATGCATGTATGTCTATATATTACATTCTTTTTATATTTGATCTATTTCAACAGTCAAAAAAAAAATTTCACCAATAATAACACATCACAAAAAAAGCCAACTCTTCTGTTTTTCAGGTACCTAACAAAATTTGACCTAAGATAAATAATAGTGGAGGTGTGGTATTTCTGATTTTAAAAAAATGATAATTATGTGATCTCCACAAGCCCCGGACTGTTTCCTGTCATGGAACAAATAGCACTAAATAAATGTTTGTTGAATTGAACTAAATTAAAATGTGTATAATACAAGGGGCAAATGTGTGACATCAGCTATTTTGAATTGTCCATCTCAGCCTTTCTTTGTAACAGAGCTCCAATTTTCACTGTATACTTATCCCTCAACCACACAATCTATATGCTACTGGGGAAAGTGACCCCACTCTTAGCAACCAAGGTGGACTCTGATTGGCTTAAGTTATTTAGTATCTTCCAATTCTTGACAACAGTGTTTGGTTCAAAACAGTTAACAAAATATGAGCCAATGAGAGATAAGAAATGAGATACAAGAAAATATTTATGAGAGGTTTGGGGTGTGTGTGTGCGTGTGTGTGTGTGTGGTTTGGGGGGGTGAGGAGTCCTCCTAGGTCTTCTGAAAGATACTCAGAGAGGCACTCGCTGTGTTTATTGAACATATGAACAAGACTGGCAACTAATCCCTGCCCCGGGAAGCTGCTACAGCCACCTATGTGGCATCGGAGGAGCTGGCCTTAAATTAAGCCCCAGGTAGGTCAGGGCCAGCCCTTCTGGTAATATGGTTGACTAGATAACCTAGACCACTTGCTACAGAACACTTAGAAATGCCAAATAAAATACAACAAACATCATTTTAAGTGCATGGCTGAGCCCAAAAGAAAGTAAGGGAAATCTCTTAGCCAGGCCAGTTGATGAGAGTACAGTCACCTTCCCCAGCAGTATGTAGACCGCATAGGTGAGAAATGAAAATCAAAATAAAAATAAAGTGGGAACTGAAGAACAGAGCAGGAAGGGTAGACTGGACAAGGGGCAGAGATTGGTTGCCGCTTTCTATAACCAAGAAGCTTGCATTTTACAGCCCATGTGGGGACAGGAGATGGTGGCTTAGGTCCGCAAAAAGTCAGAGAGCTGCAACTGGGACCATATGTAAAGTTTAAGGCCTAACCCTCAGAAAAATGGTGGATTAAATATATATATGTCCTCACCCCCTGTAAAAAAAAAATACACACACACACACACACTCACACACACACACTCACACACACATACCAGCAGCACAGGGTGATATGCTGGTGAATGAAAGTTTATACAGGGTTTGTAAAAGTTTCCTCCGAGAATATATACTCACAAATGTGCTCTCACATAGATTTGGAGTCTGCATCTTTCCTACACCATGATACAGGAACCTACAACCTGAAAATTTAACATACAATATTCTTGCCAGTAATTCTCCTGAGATTCATGCCTCCCACCTCCACCCTAATGCTTAACCCGGGAGGCATGAGATTCCAACAAACAAACTCCTAAGAAAAATAAGTTCACCACCCCAAATTACCAAATAACCCCCCCAAAATTCATCATGTAAAAGTCAACAGATATATAGAAACAGATGTCTGAAAATAGATTTTCAGATAATAGGACTACAAGATATAGAATAAAAATTTAGTATATTTTAAATTATTGAGGACATAAAAAGAGAAATTAAAAATATCTTAAAATTATGAGCACTATCACAAAGCCAGGGAGATTTGAAAAATTACCACCTGGAATTTCCAGGAGTAAAATAATTGAAATATAAAACCCAAAAGACAGATTAACAGCTAAATAAGACCTAGATGAAGACAAAATCAGTGAACTAAAATATAGAGATAATAAAATTATTAATAAAGCAGGACTAAAAAAAGTATAAAATATGAAAGTCATGAAAGATAGAATATGAAGGCCAACATTTATTCAAGTTCCAAAAGAGCTATATATTTAAGATGTGGGCAGACAATATAGAGACCAATGGGAAGAGAGAGAAATAAGATATTTGGTGATTTTTAAAAGATGCTTGATCAAACCTTGCCTGAAGCCCTTTCCATTCCCCAGCTTTTATATTGTTAGCCTATACATTTTAAAAATTATTTAATCCCATTTATGTTGAGCATTTTGTTCTTTGCAAGCTAAGTTTTCCTAGCTGATATTGGAAGTAAGAAAATAAAGATTAGACTAAGAAAGTTTTTTTAAAAAGTACCTGACCATTAAACATCTGGAAAAATAGACTCAGACAAATCCAGCTAAAAGTTAACAGGGAACAACACTTCTCCCATATTGCAGCTGTAAAGTATCATAACGATCACCTCTTTGGGTGACTACTGCTTTTTTACTAAGATGCTTTGGTTTCTAAAATCATTAACTATCAAAAACTTTGTTTGTTAGAAATTATATCAGTAAAAATGAAACATTCCACTCTTGCCTAGAGGATCTAAGCCACTCTGACACAGAGGCAGCCTCAATTTCCAACCCAAGTGCAGAGCTTCTAATAAGGGGTTTCTGGATACAATATTCCACATTTATCTTAACTTTGTAGTTCCCAGGGAAACAGGACCTTAGATCCACTTCACAGTCCAGAGTTGAGGTTAAACCCTTCGCACACAGCCCAGCTTTTCTCTGAGCCTGTCCAAACACTGCTTTATTTAAATTTAACCTAAACTCCATTATCCTTCAAAATCCTGGGCTTCCCTGGTGGCGCAGTGGTTAAGAATCTGCCTGCCAATGCAGGGGACACGGGTTCGAGTCCTGGTCCAGAAAGATCCCACATGCTGCAGAGCAGCTGGGCCCCTGCGCCACAACTACTAAGCCTGTGCTCTAGAGCCCACGAGCTACAACTACTGAAGCCCACGTGCCTGGAGCCCATGCTCTGCAGCGGAGAGGCCACCGCAGTGAGAAGCCCGCGCACCGCAATGAAGAGTAGCCCCTGCTCACTGGAACTAGAGAAAGCCCGTGCGCAGCAACAAAGACCCAACGCAGCCAAAAGTAAATAAATAAAATAAATAAATTTATTTTAAAAAATCCTATAATAACCTCTGTCTTTTCCTTTATTTGGTGAGATGCCCCACAGTTCCCCTGGCATGCAGTCTCCCTCATTGCAATGGTGCAATAGAACTGACTTTGCTGAATAAAAGGTCATTTCTGGTGATCTTAGGCTGATTAAGCTAGGACAGGAGACAGGGTGAAGCAAACCAAATAAACCAAAATATAAAATTATATTTTTAGCATTTGCCCAAAGATAGTCATATAGAGAGAAACGGAAAAGAGAGGAACAGAAAAGGTAAATGCTGGTTAGAATCATTTGGTTGGACTGAAACTAGAGAGGGTTTTCACTGATGATAGCTTCTTGGAGAAGGCCAGCCTTGAAGAGAGAGAGAGAAAGAAGTTCCTTCATGTTCCATTAAGAACATGGAACTAGTGGCAGAAGTGCTTAAAGAAAAAAAGCCCCTTTGCTTCTCTTTGCAGCTGCATATACCCTTCCAGACCGGGACACTTCTTTGTTCCATGCGGGTGGCCCACGGGGCTCCCAGAAAATTGAGTGCAGCCTAAACCAAGTGCCAAAGCACACTCTGGGATCCAGCTGCCTCCCAGGTCTAGTGCTGAGCTCCTGGGCTGTATTTTCATCAGTGAACTGGAATGTCAAGCCCTGATCAGCATAATCCCCTTAGCTCTTCCAGCTTAGTTCACGGCAAGGAAAGGTGGCCATCAAGAAGATTTCCTGTTTTGGAAAAAAAAAACTGCTGAACTTGGGCTGGCCTAATATTAGCAGTGTTAACGTTCTATATGGCTTTTATCTCCAGCAAGCTCGAGATTACTTAAGCATTTGGGGGAATCAGATTTCTTTGTAATCACGACAAAGCACAACATTTTGGTACCTTCTCTGATTGCTAAGGATGGCTGTCTTTCAGGTGGAGGAGCTAAGGAGAACATATCTGGTGTAACGCTGCAGTAAAAATAAATTAAAAAGTGAAGCATCATGAAGATATAGCTCTCTGGTAGCCTCTGTTTCAAGAAAACCCTGCTACCCCTCTTGCCTTCTTCAGGTCCTATGGCTTCAACCTTGAAAAATAAAGGTCACCCCCATCCCCACAATGCCTAGGTAGGCAGCTCAGAGTGCCTGGAACTCGGAGTATTCGTACAAGTAAACACAGAGGAAAACTACACAAAAACCAAACACAACTGCATTTTTAATAGCTTGAAAACTGTTCTACCCCTAACTAGTTCAAATTTAGATAACTGTAGCCCCCCTGGGCTCTCCCAGTTCATGTGTATGCTTTTCTTGTTTTCTTTTTTATACCAAGTATTTTATTGCTGCCAGTGTATATAAAACAATTACCCTTGTGAAACAGAAATTCATGAATATTCAGAGACGTAGATGTTAAGGACTGACAAAAGTACAAGTTTGTATAGTATGGCACGTGTTATAGAGACAGGCTTTTGAACTGGCTTCAAATTCAGCTTTCCTTAGAATATTCACCGGTTTATGAAAAGTGGTTTAGAAAACCTTACAAAGATTCATTTTATTACAAAAAGGAACAGACTTTCTGGGGTCTGAAGGGGTTTGAAGATACTCCAGTCAGCAGTGGGTCATGTTGAGCATTCTGCAGACAGAATTGTTTCAAATCTGCAGCTGCCTGGGAAACCTTCACAGGGTTGAGCCCAGGCTCCACCCGGGCCTGTTGAACCACTTTCTTCACAGCAACGACGCTGGAAGGACCAGACGTGGCACACGCGACAGCTGGGCAGATCGGCATGCCCACACGTATGCTTTCCTAGGCAATTTTTAATGCCAAATGTGTTGATTTTCTTGACTAAAAGCATACTGAAGAAAAAGCATTGTAAAGTGTGTGTGCGCGCGTGTGTGTGTGCATGCGTGTGCGTGTGTGTTGGGGGAGAAGCGTGTTGATTCTAAACTGAACACTGAGAGATTGTTTGAGGACACAACTTTATTTTATAGCAATAGTTCTTAGCATTTTAAATAACTCGGATAGGTCATGCATGGATACCCTCTATCCCCAATGGAAAGCATCATCACCACATTCCATCAGCTTTGCAGAAGGTGCAAAGCTCACCTCACCTGCCAATCTACACAGGCGTCAGCCTTGCATGAAAACATGACAGCCAGCATCTCAGAAAGGAAAGAGACCTGCCAATTCACCTACCTTGTATATTTCACAGACAGGAAATCTGAAAAGGTTTCAAGTCCCAAAAGTTTGGTTGTTTATACTGATCCTGTCACTGATATGTTGCCCGGGCCTGCCACCTGTCAATTTTGTCCAGCCTACCCAAAAAAGGAAGCTGGAAGGGTGCATGTGCCATTACTGTAGAATATGGGATATTAAAATAAAAAACATTCCAGCTCTTTGATTTCCTTTGATTTTGTGGGTAATACAATAACCAGAATGAGATAGCTGAAACCAATAAAATCTGATTTATAGCATTAAAGGCAATCTTTATAGCACTTATTTATGGTACATTACATCTAAAATCCAATTTCACAGGCTGCTGTTTGAAACTTTCTGTTCAATCATACATATACTACATACACTGTACCTCAGTGCCATAGAGTTAGATTATACAAATGTCTGTACCCCCAGAAGGTATTAAAATTCGGTTACTATGGTGGTGAGTGAGCTTGACAGAAATTTTCCTAACCAACTCTTCAACTGCTAGCACTCCTATCATTAAACCAAAAAAAAAGGAAAAAAAAAAGAAAAAAAGATCACTGCTCATATAACTCTATATTCTGGAATGAAATTAATTGAAAAGAAGTCGTATAGAAATGCGATAATTGGTGATGCTGAAGGATACTTGCATTAACGTTGCGGGGTATATTTTCAAGCCAATGAGCAAAAAGTACTTTCTTGCATGACATCATCGGTATTAAGAAAAGACACACGGCTGGGTCTATACATCCTTCTTTGGAAATATAACCTGAAGTGTCTACATTCGTACACTTGAATGTAGAAGGCTATATCCTGTTCAATTACTATAATTATTGTCAAAGAGAGGGCAAAGAATACATGCTGACTTTCAGAGAACTGTCATTTGAATCTTAAGCAACTTCCCATTGATTTAAAAAGGGTTTTATCTTAAAAAAAATTCAACTCTTCAAACACTTTGCTTGCCATGCATTAGGTAAACATAAAGAGAGGCTGGGATCCTTGCCTGATCTGATGAGCAAGGGAACTCCTGCTCTGCGAGCGATCACATCCCTCAGCACTGAAGTTTTGTTTCCTAAATACATTTCAGCCTCATTGTCATCCAGAAATGTGTACCATGCACCCATCACCTGGCTTATGTGCTATGCTGATAAGTCATTCGCGAATAAAATTCAGGACTCAAATATATCAATAAATGACAAAAAGTGGCAGAAATAGTGAATAGATTCAATACCCAAATAACTGCCAAGCATTGTCCTATGCCAGGAGTGCATTGGCATACTGTGGGGCTTGAAGCTAATACAATTTGAAGTCCTCCTTAAAAAAAAAGAATACCAACTTCAAAACTTAATATTATTTATGAGGGACTTGTACAAGTGAAAGCCAGACACTTAAGCCTCATTGGCGACAAAGTAAAAGTATTTCTGGATCTTGTTTTTCCCATATCATTTCTCATCCTCACACAAGACCAGCAAGGACAGCATTATTCTTCAGATGAGGAACTGAGGCTCAGATGAGTTGCCCCAGAGGACTCTGGTAGGGATCCGTTCATTGGGATGCAAGCTCAAGTTTGTCTCTCTTGAAACCCATGCATACTGCTGCGTTTCAGTTTAAGTTAATTGAGGTTTGGGTTGTTATCACCTGTAGTTCCCCGAGATGGGGTGGTGGGCTTGTTTTAGCCCCCAGAGAATTCTCTACAGCAAGGGAAGGCTTAAGCGTGAATCAGAGTCACCTGGAAGTCTTGTGCAGTCACAGATTGCAAGCCCCACCTCCAGGGTTTCTCAACCAGTAGGTCTGGGTGGGGTCTGAGAATTTCCCAGGTGATGTTGATGCTGTTTGGCCAGCACCATGCATTTAGCCGCTGACCTTGAGAAACTGAGCTAATTCCAGCATTCTGCCCATCTATCTTCTTCCTCCAGTGAAACCACAGTTACTGTAGTTCAGGGGTACTTAACCAGCTCAGCTAAAATGGAGCTAAACCCCACCCCTTCATGAAAGATTTCAGCTGGACTAACAGTAGCTGGAATACAAAATAGGCTGAGAAGGAAAAATGTTAGTGAAGAATTATGTTGGAAGAAAAGATAGTATTAAAATGCAATTCAGCAATGAGAAACTCAGTATATTTAAATTAGCCTCACTATAGCACAATTTAAAACTGTTACGTAATGGTAGTTAATGAAAACTCATATAAATACCCTAATTTTTCTGTAAACTAATAGGAAAATAGAATCAATGAATATGGTGAGAAGCCAAGGAAAGAGAATCACCAGGTGGGGGGGCGGGCGGAGCTAAGGGACTAAGGGCATGAAATGTCATTTGAAATTGAGTAAGTAGGGTTTAATCAAGGTATTTAAATGCATTCTACAAGAGAGTACAACTTACATTCTGTATTTAAGTGATATTCAATATAATGATGATGGAATTTTATTACAGGAAAGCTATTCAGTGATGCTTATGAAACGACTGTAGACAAATTATCTCTATGACATACTACAAAAGTCACATCCATAAATTAGTTTAAGATGTGAGCACTAAGTATATTGAGGTTTGAAAGACTTTAGTTCACTCTGAACTCTTAATGACTCGAATATGTTTACCGAGAGAAAAGATGATCCTTTTGCCATTAGTATCTCGTGGATTATTCTGCAGTAAACAACCTGTGTATTTGCTCTTTGGTTGGAAGCCTAGGGGGCTCTTTGTTTATTCAACAAAGAATTATTGACACTTACTAGGTACCAAGGATACACAAATTAATAAGATACTTATTCAAAGAATTAGCCAACTACATTATCCTCTTTCTATTCTACTTGAAGAAAGGAAATAGAATTAATACAACTATCTAGTAATTCATCTCAGAGAAAGAAAAATAATTTGAGCTTCGGGTTTATGGACTTCTTCTGATAGGTGTGCAATCTATAGGAATGGATGGTCAGAGATTCCATAGTTTTCTCACATAGGGATCTTTGTATTGGATAAAAGACTAGTTTTTAAGAAACAATGTGAATATCGGCCCCTTGTTATAATATTTTCTGCTTCCAGGAGCAGAGGTTCTTGGGCAGGGTTTGTGTGCAGTGGAGTTTACACAGGAATTGTTCAAAGAGTGGGAATTGATGGCGATTCTGATAATGAGAAGAAATTAAGAGTTTTTCCAAATAGGATCACAGATATTCAGAAAAGGAACCAGTGATTTTCTGAGGAGCTGGTAATAAAATTTGCCTTTGATCTAAAATGATATAAAAGAAAGTTCTGCATTTTCCTAGAAAATGTACCATCAGTGGCAATAAATCTTAGCTCTAACCTCCTGTCAATTATCTACCTTATGGATCAGTGCACAAGAAAACAATGAATTCCCAACAATTATCATGGGATACAGATACCTTCACATAAGAGAGATTTCATAAGAAAATAAATATATGCTCTATAATATCAACATTTAATACCACTCTTGCTTTCTAAAAATGACTTCTATAAATTTATTTTTCACTCCACATTTCATAGCCAGATGGTTGAAAAAAATACTCTTTAGCAAAAAAAAAAAAAAAAAAAAAAAACACCCAAAACAAAAAGCCAGTTTTTCTTCCCAGTGTCAACTGTATTTCTATTAATTTACAATATCTGAAAATAATTATTTTAATTCTCTTTAACGTTGTTAGCAGAAAAACAACAATTTTTGTGTAGTATAATTAGGGAAATAAAAAATTCCTATTAGAAGCAGATCACTTAAATGATGCAACTGCCTTACCAAGTAAATTTCAGGTCATATATATCAAATGGTGCCACGGCCAACATGAAACCAGCTTTTGGTACATTCCATCTGAGGAGATGTTGCCCATTTGCAGAATGCCTAGGATAACATGTCCAAATGCACTTCACAGGTGTCACAAGGTCTTAAAACTTTCATGCTTCACCGAAATCTTCTAACCGATTCCTCTAATGGTTGTGTTTATTCTGCTTCATTTACTTTCAAGTTCACATCAAGTCTCAGAACTCTGAACTAGGAGAGACCATGGAGGTGATTTAGTCTCTTCCCTTCCAAATCATCTTCAGGTGTGATTAACTGAGACCCAAAAAATCTAGTGAGATGTCCAGTGTCTACGTCTGGGTGATGAAAGGGCCAAGATTGAGCGAAACTCTGGTCACATGACTCACTGTCCATCGACGTTGCTCTCACTGTGCCATTTGATCAATGATCTTCACGGAGCCCTGACACCTTCTTTGGAATTACGTGTTCTCAACAGCAATCTGAGTGCAATGCATTTGAAGAGCCAGTAAAAAGAGAAGCAGGAATTTGTACATGGAATTCTTGAATTCCCACAGAACTATTACTAGGATCAATTAATATAATGTAGGTAAAGTGATAAAAGGACAGGCTTTGTACATCAGAAAGCATGATACCGATAAAAGGAATTTTCAAGATCGTAAAACCCAAGACGTTATTCTGTGAAAGTTTTGTAAAGAAAAACCTAGATGTCTTGCCCAAGATGTATGGAATACCACAAAATATCTATGCCAAATTGTACCCACAAATAAAATAACTGGATACATTTTAAAGATATTATAAACAAATGTTAAGAATAATCTTATTACAAAAA